AATCGAGGTGTTCATTTATTTATTTTGGTTGTTTATTCGAGTTGTTTAAATAAATTTATTTGATTTTCTCGTATAGGAGAGATGGACGAATCGTCAAAGAGTACTAGTATTCGCATCCAGGGGTATAAACCATCGGGATCGTCACCTGATGGAGGACCTGAAGTGCCTGATGCCTCATCACCGGACAGAATCAAAAATGGAAAGGCAGAAGAATCTGCAGGTCGTCAACGAGATCTGCGAGTCGAAAAACTGCAATAAAGCTGTTTTGTTCGAAGGGAGAAAGAAGAGGGATCTATACATGTGGTTTTCAAACGTTCCCACTGGTCCTTCAGTTAAATTTCTGGTTGAAAATAGTAAGGAAGACTTAAAAAAATCCCCGATTCGAGAGAATTTTCGGTGTTTCAAAATTTTGGAATAATTTTTTTAATTTGTAATAATTTTTTTCAGTCTATACAATGGGAGAACTTAAACTCACAGGCAATTGTCTGAAAGGGTCTCGTCCAATCCTCTCATTCGATGAGAATTTCACGACAAATCCTCATTACGCTCTTCTCAAGGAATTATTTACCCAGATATTCGGAGTTCCGAATCAACACCCTAAGAGCAAGCCATTCTTCGATCATGTGTACACATTCAGCGTTTTAGATAATAGAATATGGTTCAGGAATTTCCAAATTCTGACTGAGGATGGTGGACTGGCAGAGATTGGTCCCAGATTTGTTTTGAATCCTGTGAAAATTTTTTCCCAGAGTTTTGGGGGTGAAACACTCTGGGACAATCCCTTCTACATCTCCCCAGCGAAATATCGTCAGACAATCAATAAAAAGGCTGGAGGAAAATACATAAATAGGGTCCAACAGAAAGTGGCGCAGAAGGTTAATAAACCAGAGATTTCCTATGCCATGAATCCCCTGGATGATATATTCAAGGGAGAAGCACTCGAGAGGGCTAAGGAGCTCGAGGAAAACGAGGTAGAGGGCCTGTCCACGAAGACAACTGGGGAGGAATCCGTCGATCCTTTCAAGGGCAAATCCCCGGCTGAGATCAGGAATCTGGAAAAGAAAGCAATCAAGAACTTCCAGAAGCTGGCGAAGAAATCG